TGGGCAATCAATTTTAACATGCCCTGATTTCCAGCATTTATAGCAGACAATATCATCAAAAGCTTTAGAATTTTATAATTCTTACCTTTGTCCACTGTTGATGATGCTTTTGCTCATTTTTTAGAAAGTTTCTGAACTGTTGAGTCATCAGTGCAATTTCTTCATCTCCTCCATCAAAGGAATTATCTGAATCATTAGCCTTGAAGGCTACAATTTTTTTCTTCTTTCTTTCTCCTGCATTAAGTTGTCTTTGATACACTGTTTGCTCATAGGCAATGAGTGATCAAAGTAAATTATCAATAGAATAAACATACAAATCCTTGTATTCTGTAATAGTAGTAATTTTTGCATCGTAGGAAGAAGGTAAACACATGGAATCTTATTTACTTTTTTAAAATTCAATAATCCTTTACTTAAAGCATGCAGAGATGTGATGATTTGTGTAAACCTAGTATACATTTCAGATATGGATTCACTAGCTTTCATGCAAAAGAGTTCATATTCATGCAGCAAAAAACTTAATCTAGATTGTTTCATTTTGCTTGTTCCTTCATAAGTAATGCATAATCTATTCCAAATTTTTTTGTCATTAGTACAGGTAGATACACGCATGTAATCTTCAGATTTTAATGTACAAAAAAAATAATTTAGGCATTTAGCATTCAGTTGGACTAAATCTTTATCATCAGTAGTTCATTCAGAAAAAGGGATTTCAGTTTTACCATTATTTACTAATCGTGAAGGTGCAGAATAACCATCCTGAATAAGCATCCAAATACGATAATCAATTAATTGTAAAAAGTTGAACATGCGAGTTTTTCAAAAATCAAAAGGTATATTTTCAAATAGAGATGGTCAAGTAATTGAATATCATCCCGCAGTGTTTCAATTACTAAAGTTAGTCAATGATCTTAATTCAAAAATCTTCTAAGGCTTGATCTTATGAATTCCGCTCTGATACCACGTAAAAGTTCATGAGGGTTGTTAAACCCTAAAAAATTAGTCCTGATGCTAACCAAGATGGGGTTAATTGGTAGTTTAAATAATTTCTTAAACAAACAAGAATTTTAAACCTCTTGATGTGAAAATAGAACTAAGTTTATAATAAAAAAAAACTGATATTTCGACCACAGATCAAATCACAAAAAGTGAAAAAATTAAAATGCGGTAAAAGTAATAAGAAAGAACACACCAAAACTTATAGTGGTTCAATCAACCTGACCTACGTCCACTCCTTGGAGACTCCCTCTCCAAGTATTGCACTAAACAGAAGTGACTCCCCTTTTGCTCCTTTTGCTCCCACAACAAGGCGGAGAAGCCTGACGTTGTTTCACCCCCCCTGGTGCGGCAGAGAACCACGACTCTTTTACAGGAAGAGCACCTTAACTCTATTTTCACCCTTCTGGTGATGGTTAGAGAACCACAAATATATTTTCACCCTCCAGGTGATGGTTAGAGAACCACGACCTTTGCTAAAGAACTTCTTCTCCGGAGCCATAGAGATTCCAGACAGACGCTTATAGGTACTAGGCAAGATTCTTGCTTGGAGCAACCTTGTGAATCCCCTCGCAACTTCTCCCTCACAAAATCTCCCTCTCTTATCTCACCAAGCTCTCCTTCTTCTCTCCCTCAAGCTCCCTCTCAAGAAGACTAAGCAGCCAAAGATCATCTAACAAGAGTATTAGAGATCCTTAAATAGAGAGCTTCAAAAAACCCTAATTTCTAAGCCATTTGTCTTCTGTTCGTACAATACGTTTGACGTATCGTACGGTACGAACATTTCAATTCAAAATCATCCAACAAGATCGTTCAGACGAACTGTTCAAATTTTACAATACATTGTACAGTACGATCACAAATCGTATGGTACGATATGCATAAAATCCTTCTGTTTGTTTGGGACGATCCTTGGGACGACCAACTTCGTACCGATCATCTAGCATTATGGAGATTGTATGATACAATCAGTACAAAAATTATGGATTTCATTTGGTACGCTCCGAGGGACAACCAATTTCGTACACGGGTAATTGTAGAGTACGAACAAGTTCGTACAGTATGATCAATCACAATAACTATCCATGATTTGATTGCCTGATATCGCGTGATTAATCAAGTAAGATAATAATTAGGGCGTACAGTGCAATCCAAATCGTATTGTACGATCAATACATAATTAGTATCTTCCTTCATGTTGGCTGCTAGGCTTTGGCAGAGCACAACAGATCGTACGGTCCGAGATTAAGGCATACAGTACGATGCATGTATCGTATAGTACGAAGAAAAATCGTATAATACGAAGAAAAATCGTATAATACGAATTACTCAAAAAACAAACACTCTCGAAAAGACATTTCTATCTCCCCCTATGTGTATGCAAGGTTGCTTAGCAAAGATATCCACCCAAATACATGATATGACTCAAAGGAAAAAATACATAATAAATTGAAAATAATAGACCCAATCTTAAGCTGCTCAGAATTGCAAGTGAACGGTAGATAGAATTAATGAAAACGTTAGTACACATAGAACAAAACACTATCACAGAAATAATAGAAAGCAATATCAAACACAATAATATTTGTTATCATTAAAACACAAACACAGTGCTTAGATCAAATCTGCAACAACATGCTCTTTATCTGGCTATGAAAAAAAAAAGAGTACCTACAACCAAGTACATACAAAGAGGAGAAATCATTTATCGATATTGAGGATGAATTCACTAGTGTACATTATGTACAATAGGAGACTCAGAGATAGAAACTTGAAGAAAAAAGGATTAATGGATGATGAAAATCCTTTGCTTTACGAGGATGTGTCATCTGATGATAATTAGTTTGTAAATGACGAAGTTGAAGTAATGCTGTCTGAATTATAAGACGAAGATTTAAATGTTGATTTCTTTGAAGATCATAAAGCATCTACATCCACCACAACTCAAGAACAAATCAAAAAAGGTATATAAATAACATAATTTTCTTATACTTTTATTAATGTATTACACTACTATTTATTTTGATATTGTTCAAAAATATTTAGGGAAGAGGAAGATAACTGATATTGAGAAAGGAGCTGATTGGGGGACATTAGACTCTATAGGAGAGGAGGAAGCGGAGAGAGAAGTTCATCATAATGATGATTCAGATGAAGATCCCATTAGTGATGCCAGTGCTGATGACTTATGAGTTCTTATGTGATATGTCATTGCTATTTATTTTTGGAATTATATATTAATGAAAAGAATATTGTGATTTGGGAAAGATAGAGTTTGAGTTGAACTATATTTCATGTTGTCTTATTATTGAGATATTTTGATTTCACTTCATATATTGTGCATTTTTATGTTTTATATATTATTTACTCATTAGTATATAAAAAATTTATCATTTTATGTTACGCAATCTTTTGATTTTGAGGCTTACACCTCAAAATGCCTTGAGGCTTACGCCTCACCTCACAAACGAAAGACGTCTCAATACCTGATTATGCAATTTTAAACATTGATTGTGAAATCAACTTTGGTGGATAAAATTAAAGAGGCTCAGAAAACCAACAATGAATATCATAAATTAGTTGAGGAAGTTCAATTAGGAAAGAGATAGGAGGTTACAGTAGATGAAAAAGATATTGTTGGAAAAAAAAAGTACATCTACAAGAACCTAATGATTATAATTTCAGGTAGGAGATGTTGCAAAAAAGCGCAACACTCAAGATATACTATTAATTGAGGAAGTACAATGATTTAAAAGTTTTTGAAATTAGTATTTTAGTAGCTAGATATAAAGAAGGATGTAGCTGAGTATGTATCCAATTGTGAAAGTGGTCGAATTATAAAGGCTAAATATGAGAAGCCAACTGGATCATTGCAATAATTACTTATTTCAAAGTGAAAGTAGGAAGAAATTATAAGAAATTTTGTTATAGGATTTCTTAAATCAAATAGGATCATGATTATATTGGGTGATAATTAACGAATTCACTAAGTTTGCTCGCTTTATGTCTATGAAGCAAATAGATTCAGTTGAGAAACTATTAAGTCTCATGTTTGGTTGGAAGGGGTTAAAATGAGGCACAACACAAATGATGCTCATTACAATCTCATTGACGACCATCCTACTAGTTGTGAAAGTCCATTGAACTCAGCATTCAATAGCAACAATCACGCCATCAAAATGCTAAATGATGTTCATTGATGATTATCCTACCTGTAACAATCACATTAAGCAAGCCGCATATAATGACTTTGATTGCATTATCTAACACCATCTCATGAACAGAGAATGTTCAAGGTAGTAGGAACCAATACTCCACAGTCAGCATCACAATACCGAGAAAAGACGTAATTCATACTATCTCTGGATGCATCACACACTTATGTTGTTCATAATAACATATATGTGAGATAGAAGATCTAGGGTCCTTGAACATCGCCTTTCTTCATATCAATTATCAAAGAAGTATTTTGTATTGAAGTCCCTCCAACTAATTGGAAGTAAACCACCTTTAACTAACAATCCAAAATAGTGGATTTTTGTGCCAAAACAAGGACCCATGGTTTTTCCAAATCCTACTCTATTTGAATGTGTTTTTTAGGCTAAGCCAATGAAATCTCATCTAGCACACAACATGAGGATATGACGACAAAAAGCAGGAACTACTAATTAAGAATGATAAACGTTAGGATCCTCATGAGAAAGGAACAATGAGCTCTATCATAGAAGTCAAATAGACACAAAAAAGAGACATCCATGGTGTATATTGATCCCATTATCCCTCTACATCATATAAATCCATTATGTCAAACAACATCATCTTGGGATTAAGCACTTCCACCAACCATAAACTAGCTAGATATGCCCTTTTTATTTTTAAATAGTAATAGTAGTAAAACAAACAATCATGCTTTATATTTCGATAAAAGAAAAAATATGCATCTCAGAAATAGAATATACAAAAAAAAACATTTAGCACAATTTAGGAAATTTGAAGTTGTGTACCTTGATCTTCTCAACAACATCATCCCTTGAAGCATTTATGATGTGAGTTGCTCCAAGTGTCCTTGCATTGCGCAATTTTTCATCTTGTACATCAACTGCAATTATCTCAGTAGCACCAAATGCTCGTGCTATCTGTAAACAACTGAAAAATAAATATTTTAGTTCAAATGAAACAACTTTGTATAAAGAAAATAAATTAAATCCTATTCAAGCTATGGAAACATATAGATTGATCTATCCTTAAAAAAACTTATCAAATATAATAAAAACATGTAATATAAAACTTGGACGACTAACTTGATTATATAAATTCATAAGGTCATGCATTAGTAGAATTTTTAGTTTCAGAGTCCTTTCCCCTCACTATTAGATTCATGTCATACTTGTGAGACAAGTTTTATGTTGGTTGTCGACTACATAACGCAACCCTCCACTTCTCTCATGCATATTTGGGACCAACAATGGAATTGTTAAAAGCTACAAGTGACTTCTTGTATTGGTGCATAAACTAAAAGATGACAAATTGTTTATCTTTCTAGATAATAGTGCTAAGAGAGGCAAATTGGCATTCAAATTTGAGGCAGAATAAAATGACTAGTTCTATATAAAAAATTACTATAGAAGTTTAGAAGAGTCTAGAAATAAATTGTGCATTGACAAGAAGACTTAGTGAAGTGAGGAGGTATAAAGAGTGATTACTGAAAAAATAAATTTTAAAAATTTGACAAAGATTGTATGCTGCTTAGGCATATAATGACTATAAAAAATATAGAAATCTCACAAAGAGGATAGTGAGCAAAACAAAAGTTACAGTTTTTATGATTTCATACCAAGTTTGATAACAACAACAACATCAAGCCTTTGTCCCACTATGTGGGGTCAGCTACATGAATCCTTTTTCGCCGTTGTCTTGTTAAAAGTCAAATTCTCATTTAAATCTAATAAAGAGAGATCATTTCTAATATTTTCTAACCAAGTCTTTTTAGATCTACCTCTACCTTTCTTAACATAAGTCAAATGTAATACATCATCCTTCCTAACCGGGTCATCGGAAGGCCTCCTTTTAACGTGACCAAACCATCTAAGGCGACTCTCTCTAATCTTATCTTCCACTGGAGCAACTCCAACCTTTTCATTTATATGCTCATTTCGAATCCCATTTCTAAGGGTAAAGCCACTCATCCACCTAAGCATCCTCATCTCTGCAAGGCTTAACTTAGTATTATGCTTCTCTTTTAATAGCCAACATTCGGCACCATAAAGCATTTGTAGGTTTCACCACCATCTTATAGAATTTTCCCTTAAGTTTGAGGGGGACTTTTCTATCGCACAACAAACCCGATGCATTCCTCCACTTCAACCATCAAACTTGAATTCAAATAATAATATCCCTATCTATTTCACCACCTCTTTGAATAATAGATCCAAGATATCTAAAACGTGTACTCTTAATATTAGACTCTAAGGTTGACCTCCATAATCCAAGTTTTCCTTCAACTGCCTCTCTAGTATTATCAACAAGAAGAATATCATTAGAAAAAAGCATACACCAAGGTACATCCTCTTGCAAATGTTTAGTGAGAACATCCTAGACTAAAGCAAAAAGATATGGGCTTAAGGCTGATCCTTGATGTAATCCAACTGAAATAGGAAAATACTTGGTCAAACCATCTTGTGTTTGAACATAAATAATAGCTGCTGTATACATATTTTTAAATATTTGAATTTAAGCATCACCAAGAACTCTCCATAGCACTTCTCTTGGAACTTTATCATATGTTTTCTCTAAATCAATAAATATCATATGTATATCCTTTTTATTCTCTCTATATTTCTCCATCAAACCTCTCAATAAATGTATGAATTCCATAGTAAACCTACTCGACATGAATCCAAATTAATTTTGAGAACCATTAGTATCACGCCGCAACCTACGCTCCATAACTCGCTCCCATAGTTTTAAAGTATAACACATTAACTTAATTCCTCTATAATTCGCACACTCCTGTGCATCACTTTTATTCTTAAAAATATGAATTAACAAACTCATTCTCCACTCATCTAGCATCTTTTTAGTCTTCAAAACAATATTAAAAAGTTTAGTAAGCCAAGAAATTCCTTGATATCCTAAGCATTTCCACATCTCTATTAGAATATCATCAAGTCCAACAGCTTTTCCACATTTCATTTTCTTTAAAGCCTCTCTAACTTTGGTTTTACTAATATGCCGATAAAAATAAAAATCTTTATTTTCATTTAGGATACTAAAGTCACTAAAATCAATTGTATTTTCATATTATTCATTAAAAAGTTTAACAAAATATCTCATCCACCTTTGTTGAATATCATCTTACAAGAAAAATACTTTTTGATCTTCATCCTTAATACACTTTACTTGTACTAAATCCTTATTACTCTTATCCATTTGTTTGGCTAACTTATACATATATCTTTCTCTCAATTTAATATATAATCTATTATACAAATCATTAAAAGCTAAGCTCTTTGCATCACAAATAACTTTCTTAGATTCCTTACGAGCCTCTTTATAACTTTCTCAATTATCATAATTTTTACATATAAACTAATTTTTATAACAAATCTTCTTATTTTTTATTTTTTCTTGCATATTTGAATTCCACCACCAACTTTTTTTACTATTAGGAGTTTTTCCCTTCGAAATTTCAAGCACATCTTTTGCAATAATCTTAATATTACTAGCCACTTTTTCTCATAACATTAGCATCCTCATGCACAGACAAAATCTTAAGATCTAAAATCTTACTCTAAAAATACTTTTATTAATATTATTTAAATGCCCTCATCTAATACTAAAAAATCGTTTAATTTATTTTTTATTTTCTACTCATTTATCTTAAAGTTCAAAACTAATAAATGATATTGGAACATAAATTTTCACTTGAAATAACTTTACAATATTTGCAATCTAAATGATCTAATTTTCTTATAAGAAAATAATCACTCTGCGTTTTACTATATGCATTTTAATAAGTGATAAAATGCTTATCTCTTTTATTAAATAAGGTATTAGTTATTATAAAAATTATAAGCTAAAGAAAAATATAATATGGTCTTACCATATTCATTTGTCGTTCTAAATCCATGGCCACCATGAATGCATTTTAAAATCATCTACCTCTCTACTAACATGTCCATTTAAATCTCCTCCAATAAAAACTCTTTCTTTAAGATGTATTTTTTATATTAATTCTTCTAAGTCATTCCAAAATTTTAATTTTGAACTCATATCCAAACCTACTTGAGGAGTATAAGCACTTATAATATTAACAATCTTAGCATCAATTATAATCTTTAAAACTATAATTCTATCTACAATTATTTTAATTTTTATAACATTATCTTTCAAACTCTTATCTATAATCACACCTGCATCATTTCTAGTACGACTCAAACCCAAATACCATAGTTTAAATCCTAAACTATCAATCTTATTAGCCTTCTCTCCAATCCATTTAGTTTCTTGAATGCACATAATATTTATCTTCCTATGAATCATAATATTTATTAACTGCATTAATTTTCCTATAAGGGATCCTATATTCTAAGTTCATATCCTAACTTTAGTTTCACGGACTAGCTTCTTTGCACACATCCGTCGTTGATGTGGGAACCTGGGAACCATTGCCTATTTAACACTATACTCGGGCACCGGTGTAGCGGCCCCTGCACACTTATCACTGTATTCAGGTCATACAATGCGTCGCTTCCAAGGGACTTCCTAACATTAACAAATTTTTTAAAGAATTCATGTCATGATTATTCGACAATTTTTATGCTGGCTATCGACTACCTAACACAACCCTCACTTTTCTCATCCAGGACTTAGGATCTGGCAACGACAATATTTTTCATAACAACTTTGATATTAAGCAAGAAAAAAGGAGATATATAGAATAACTAAAATAAAAGATGGGAGACCTCGAGATTTTAACCAAGATAGAAATGTTAAAAGTGAAGTAAATGAGATTTTAGTTAAATATGAAAATATCAAGGAATAATGAAAATACACTTTGAGAAATTATTAAATGAGATTCAAGGAAAAACTTTATTTAGAAGATTACAACAAACAATATAATGAGGTATATTATGTATAAATACATGAATATAAAGTGGAGTTGGCCCAAAAAAAATATGCATAAAAGGCTCCATGTTCATTTAACAAGTTATAAGGAATATTGCAATAAATTGATTGTTTTTTTAATATAATTTTAAAAATTAGAAAAATGTCAAATTATTAGAAAGAAAATATTTTGTATCTATATTTAAAAATAAATGAGATATTCAAGATTGTGTTAACTATAGAGGAATCAAATTTATTAGTCACAAAATAAAACAATGTGAGTGAATAATAGAAGATAGGCCTAGAAAAATTATCTTAATTTTGGAGCCAAGAAGATTTTTAAAATAATTTTATGTTAAGACAATCAATGAAAGTATATAGAACAAAGAAAATATCTTCATATTATTTTTATGATCTTAAGAATACATATGATTGAATAGCTTAGGAACTGATTTCGTAAAATTTAATGCAAAAAGGTGTGTGCTAAAGATAAAATGATATTATTAAAGATAGGTACTATAGAATACTTATTAGTTTCAAAAGTAGTGGTAAGGGCCATAGATTTCCAATTATCAATTATTTACATCAAAGATCAAAATGAAGTCCATATCTTCTACATTGACTATGGAGATGATCACAAAAGATATTTAAAATGAGCTGTCTTTGGTGCATAGTTTATGCATAGGATGTAATTCAAATTGGTGAGGCATCCATTAAAATAATTAAGAAAATAAACCATCTGAGGAAATGCTTAGAAGGTAGAGATCTTAGAATAGTAAAACAAAGAACAACTATATGATATGTAATTTTATTGGATTAAAAGATAAGATAATGCGTAGATGTGATAGGTTTAAACAGCTTCAACCTGTTATCTAAAATAGAGATATAAATGAGGATGCACCTTTGGAGTTGATGTTGCATTGTTGAAATAGAGAAATGTCTCAGTTGTTTTGTGTGTTTGAAGGCATAAAGATAAATTTTATTTAAAAAAAATGGTCAATGATGTTGTATGGATCAAATTAGGGTTATATAGTCATTAATATCTATATAGAAAATAATCCTTTATCCCACTACGTGGGGTCAGCTATATGAATCCTTCATCTCTATTGTGTCCTGTTAATAGTTCAGATTATCACCTTGCTCCAATGCCACCAACTCCTATAACTGCTATAGAATCACCAGCACGCATTTCAGCTGCATGTCTCATAGCTCCATACGCAGTAAAAACTGCACAGCCTAAGATAGCAGATTCAGTATATGGTAGTGAGTTTGGCAGAGTAGCAACTGCATTGGCAGGAATGACACAGTATTCAGCAAGTCCACCCATGCTGTACATGTACACAGGCTTTCCTGAATAAACGAGAAACGATTTAAAAAGATTCCGGTTGAACTTTTTGGTAAGCATAATAATTTCCTATAAACATATATAGTCCTTAATGCATGCCTTAAAATTCCAAAACTGTGATAATAGAGAACCCATGTTAAAAACAATCTAATTAAATAACAACAGAAAGATCCGTTCATAATGTAGGATAGCAAGGTAATCACCATATTTACATATTACGAGTTGCAAGTGGCAAATTTAGTTCCGGTAATTAGAATAATTTCTGCATATTTCAGCTTACAAAATTTGCTTTCAGCAACAAGTTTCAGCATACAAGACTTGCTTTCAGCAACTACCTAGTGATTTACAGTTTACAAATGAAACCTACAGGGAATCGATATGCATAAAGATCCATTAAAACATAATATTAACAACACGATTAATTAAAACAAATTCAAGCTTTTATATAAAAAGAAAAATCATATAGCATTGATCCCTTAAATTATTTCTGTGAGGATCTAAGTGCATATGCTAAACTGAAACCTAATTCAGTCTTCAATGAGAAATCATAAAGGGGTTACATGTTAAAACATATATGATTTGTAATACAAGGAACAATCATCAAGACAATTTCATGTGATGCTCTAAATGCATATTTTGAAAATTTTGGTCAATGTTAGTCGTTCTAAAGACTGTTTTGCAGAAAAATGTGAACCTGTGCTTTGAAAATTTAGAACATTCGCTCATGTTTAACATAATGATGCAAGCAAAAATTAAGAGAGAGCCTAATTTTTGCAAGCAAAAAACCTTTCTAGGAGATATAAATAACACAACATACTCAAAAACTTGACAAAATAAGAAACAAGACAACTTTTTATAATAAAAAGACTCTTACAACTCTTGACACTTACAAACTTTGACACAAATACACCAAAAGGAGCTTGCCAATCGTTGAGAGGAAGGATACAGGTGGGGTGGAACTTGCATAAAGAAGAAGAGGTTGGAAGCCAAGACGAAACATAGCTCGCAAGCTATAGAGAGGAGAAGAGGAAGAGGACATAGCTTGCAAGCTATTCCAAAGAAAACCCTCAGGTTTTATCTCCAAAAATCATCATCACATATATGCTTTTAAAACATACAAAACATCTCCTATTTATAGAAGAAAAGGGCAGTCAAACAACCACCTAAAATTCCCAATCAAATCAATCAGCCAAGGGGAAGAGGAAAGGTCAAAAGACACATAACAGCCAGCAGAAATTCTGCACAGAAAACAGGGAGAGAACCCATGAAAAAATCAACCAGCAGCCACGGGAAGCCCAACCAGCAAGGGACCCGAAGAGCCAGCACAGGAAATAGGGCAGCACTTCACGGGAAAACAGCCAGGAGAGGTAAAATCGAGAGAGAGAGTGGCCACGGGAACAGTAACAGCCAGCAGAAACCGAAAACAGCAAGCAGCCCAAGGGAAAACCGAGAAGACAGGAGAAGGGGAAGAGACTCTCGGGAAAACAGCCAAGGAGAAATCCTAAGAGCCAACTTATTATTCTCAAAGAAGAAACCAAAGAAACAAAGAGAAGGGTTTTAGCATGTAAATAATAGCAAGATTCTATTATACAATAAAAACATCTAAATGACAAGTGAAATTATTGGAAATTAAGAAAGGAGATGCAATAAAATCATGTTCCAAATTACAAAACCACAAAATTATAGTCTATCCAAACTCCCAAAGTACAAATAAGAATGAACATATATAATTCAATTATGTCCCATCACTACATGGTTCTTCCAGGGAGTCTTCTTCTCCAATTGTATCTATGAATGTCATATCTTCATCATCTTCAATGTGACACTTTTCTCTTCCATGTTCAATAAGAATGATCATTATCATGTTACTTAATATAAATATAATGTAATAACATATAAGAAGTTGTGGAATACCTTTATTTGGATGTTGTGCTGCAGAGCTAGTGGATGTGTGTGGTGTGGTACTAGTGGATGTGCCCACTTGATTTGCTTCGCCCCTCAAGACATCCACACTTAGATCCTCTAGTTGCAAGTCTGATAATGACAAATTTGTCTCCTCATCTATAAATCGCTCATTATCAGATGCCACATCATCACACACCAACATGTCCTCATCATCCTTCAACCCCTTATTCCACAAACCTCCTATCTCTTAATCTCTTGTTGTGCACAATATATACAAGGGAGTTCATTCTAAGTGTTGAAAACCGATTTCTTCTCTTTGTTTGCACTTAACTATATGTACTCCAGTTTCACCCACACCCAGAAGAAGAACAAGTGAGGCCCAAAACTCTAACAGCAAAACTGTATAACTCATGGGTGGAATCACCAAATTGAATCCATCATTCAACTATTTTCAAGAAGAAAAATGATAATAATAACATAATAAAGTGTTTTGCATTTACAAAAATATGTATACCTGGAGACCATTTGGCAATAGTTGATTTTGCCGCTTACAGACCAAAAAATCCCTCCTTATTCCGAAATAGAACAAGTTGTAAATCTGCAAGCTCCCTATTTGTCTGCTCCGGTATTAGTCATTCTATGCAATGATATAAGCCAAGCTTCACCTCCGGGTTCGAGGATTTTCTCTCTGAATATTGAAATTGAGGATTGAGATAATACCACTGCATGTAGATGATGGTGTAACTGTACCTCCCACCGAGCATCAATGATATCTCAAATCTCTCTATAACTTGCCTCCTCTCCTCCCAAGTTACGTGCAATCAACTCCTTCGCCTCATCCATAGCATTATAAATAAAACCTATGGCTAGTTTCTTCTCGACATCCACTAAACGTAGGACTTGTATCAAGGGTCTCATGCTCAATATGACATAAGTCACAGTAGCTCAAAATTTATCATTTAAAATAAGTCTTCGTATTTCCTTCCCCTCAGTTTTCTTCCCCCGTACAGAATTAAGCCATTGTGTTGATGTAAACATTATTTCAAGAGGTCTCACATCCAACAGGCTCTGTAGTGTCAAAAAAGATGTGGCAAACCTGTAGAATAAATTTGCATTAGGAATTAAAAATGATTTGAAGTAAACAAATGTAATAATGAACCTAGTGGTTGCAAGACGGATGATTTCCTTCTTTGAAAACTTTCTCATTAAAGCTAAGATCCATGAGTGGCTATATATGAACTTTGTGATCTTCTTCACCCTTAAAAGAGCACTCTTATGTTGAGGTAAATCATCGAGTTCCTCCAATATAAGATCAATGCAGTGTGCTATGCAGGGGGTCCAATACAGGTGTTTCCTCTTCTCCATTAACATCTGACCAGCTGCTTTGTATGCACTAGCATTGTCAGTCACCACCTGAACAACCAATTGCTCCCCAATCTCCTCAATAACCCCGTCTAGTAAATTGAAAATGAATTCAGCATTTTTAACTCATCTGAAGCTTCAACTGATCGTAGAAATACAGTGCCATAGGGATTGTTGACAAGGATATTAATCAAGCTCCTACTCTTCATGTCAGACCACCCACTAACATAATGGTAACACCAGTTTCATCCATGTTCGTTTAATCTCATCAATGCTATGCCCTGTGTTCTGCAGCTCCTTTAAAATCCATGTTCGCAACTCATACATGGAAGGTGCCTTCAACCCTCTCCCATACAACCTTACAAACCGCAACATATTGAAGTAGGCTGGCGATGTCGCAACATTAAATGGTATGGCATTCTCAAAAAAAAATCTATCAATATCCATGCAAACATGCCGTCGACCCTCTCTAGTACCAGCCGCAGGCATCATCTCTGCTAGTCCTCTATCCTCTCCTGGAATAGTCATGTACTGGTCCATAGGACCCCGTGCACCTCTATTATGTATAATGGAGGAAGAGCCCTTTTCACTCTCGCTCCCAAAGTAAGCACCATGTTCGACCCTTTTATCAAATTGCTCCTGTTGTAAATGTTTGGTCGTAGTACTCTTTTTCATATAAGCTGTAATTTTCTCCTTCACATTATCCGGAACATTCGCACAAGGTGCTACATTCTTGTGTAAGCCGGATAAGTGCTCCTTCATGCGAGTTACTCCTCCCTTCACCACCTTATCACAAAAATTGCATTTTAAATACACATACGTCTTCTCGCCGCCTCCTACGTCAACTTGTACATTGTATTTCCAAGAAGGGTCACGCCGTAATGACATATTTGTCTTTTCCTTGCCCCTAACCATGTTTCCTAATACACAAATGCGAAAACATACAAAAAATCTCAAAAAATAGAAAATCCTAGCTTTTCTATAACTTGAAAAAACTTTCCTTGAACTAAAAAAAAAACCTAAAAGCAATAATGGAATGCTTGTAAAGGGCGGCCGGACCTTTCCTGCTCACCGGCGTGAGGCGGCGCAGACGGGAGAGGCGGCAGAAACCCTACCCGAGCGGAGCCGAGCAAGACGTTCACGAACAGAGGAGCTTGTGGGAGATTTTGTTTCGGGAAGCCTTAGAACCGAATGGGAGAAAAAGAAAAAAAGACTTAATTTTAAGTAGGTGGGACCGGATTTGATGAGGCGTGCGCCTCAACTCTAATTGCGCAATTGCGCCTTCGAGGCGCGCCTCTGCTCCCATGAGGCGTAAGCCTCACATGAACCCAAAATTGCTTAGGCAATTAAGCGTTTGGGGGCTGAATTGCGCAATTTTAAACAGAGATGTTATAAGATATGGTCCTTTACTTATTCATGCAATTAACATCCAATAGAATATTACATCTTTTCCATGATTATCTTTGAATGAAATGCAAATGTTCTATAATATTTTATGGATTCATTATGATAAATGGCATAAATCTTATTTCTTTATTCCTGTAAGTAACTATAATTTAGAATTATGATTTACGCACTAAGCTATATTTATAACTCATACTTGTCATTTAATAAATATATGCACGAAAGGATGATATAGATTTAATGAGTTAGAGAAGGAAATTTGAGTATGACAACTGCACAGATCTGGGTGCAATTACACTCGCCTAACCTAGGTGCGGCTGATTGTATTTTGTTG